TGTCTGAACAGCTCAACTGGTTAACAAGGGCGCCAAAGGTTCCTTTTAGCGGTCATGTTAATAATAAAATAACCTGTTGACAGACGTACACAACCGGTCAAAATGTTCTTAGTGGTTAACCGCTCAACGGTTGACAGTTAACATCGCTACTTTAAACGATTGCGCCTTGCCACGTTGTTTAGTTCTTCTTGAGCATAACCGACCCGTACCTCAGCAGCGATGTCCCACGACAGCCTCTGAGGACCCGGCAGGTTGGGGTGGGGCTCCCCACAGCAGTGACCCTGCTCAGTATATCCCAGCTTAACAGGGTCCATGGAAAGAACATGCTGCAATGCAGAGAGTCAAGACATAACATGAATAACTCAATTAAATGGAAGACATGAAATTGATGCATTTCAAATTTCTGTCTTAGATAAACTGAGGTACACATTGTTTGTGACATAATAAGACACTTTAATGCAAGAATGCAAAATGAATTAGATAAAAACAACATGGATGTACCTCCCAGAGATGGCCGATGATTGGAGCATCAGCCCAGGAATGCTCTGCGTTCAGTCCCATGGTGCCATTCTTAAAAACTATCAGGTTAAAGGACTTATCAAACCATCTGAATGAAAAAAAGAATAAACAACTTCAGTTTATGTATACATGAACTCTTCTAATAATCTGAAACAAAAGGTATCGGGTTTATCTGCCCCACCTGTCGTAGCACTTTCCGTGGAGGAGGGACTTGGCATAGCTGTCCAGAGACTTGACTGGGTTGTCTTCGTCGTAGCGCTGCTCAGTGTCATCAAGGGTAACAAAGAAGGCTGCCTTCTCGATGGTGTCCAGAGATTGCTTGTTCTTACCGCGGGCGAAGTAGGTCTCTCGAGCGTTGGCCCATGGAGTCCTGCAAATGACAAATAACATACAATCCAGCAATGCCTTACAGGAGTCAGGCCTACTTGTAAGTAGTGCAAACAAGTTCCACCTCTGTGCGAGAAAAGTGTGCTGTGTGGGAGGGAGGTACTGGACTTATTTCTTGCATTTTTGTGGTCACCGCCACACCCTTTCCTACCTTCAAATACTCCTCTCACAGTCAGTACCAACGCCCAACCAATACAGCGTCTTGGCCCATATTATGGCTAGATTTCAGCTCATCGCACATGACAGCACGTCGGTGAGCCAGTAAGTAAGAAATGACAGCACAGATCCAACACAGATATGTCCGAGGTCATTTAGAAACAGCGTTGCCATCACACAGTTTTTCCACTATATTTATTATTCAACAGCAAAATGTCCCGCTCTGTACAATTTATCATTATCAAATTTAAGAGATCCTTATGGAAAATGTTTGTTACAGACTATAGCTGAATATCAGACAATATATTGTTAGAAAATGTTCTAAATTCTCAAATTTTGATAACTCAAAATTCTAATTATATATATATTTGAAAAAACAAAAACATAAACATAACACTGTTTACTAGTAGGCACATGCAACATGTAAGGTCAGTCCTAACTCCTTAGAACTGACTTGTGTATCCCATTAAAAAAAACTGTCGATGTCAGCGTCAAAAAAATGCCAACAAATTAAAATATTCCTTTATTTTAACCCTTAATATGCCAGTTTGTTCACATATTGTCACTACTGCTTTTATGAAACAACACAAAACACTTTATGTATACTAAATGCAAGGGGGGGATTATTTTCAATGATCAGCAACAACATTGATTTTTGCTGCATTGCATCACACACTGCAGTGCTCCGCAATACAGCAGCAATGTGGAAACCAGTAAAATAGTATGTATTTGCCCCACAAGGCAAACATCCCAAAATGGCTGAATCTGGTGGAAAATAGTAAAAACTACAATTTCGATATCAGGGTTCTAGATTGAAAGCCTGGTACAAAAGAATGCATGATTTTATGCTGTAATGGCTGTCAGGTCGGGATGTTTTGTCCTTAAGGGTCTGAAAGTTTATCATAGACCAATTATGGGAGCTGAGGTTCAACTTTTGAAATTCGAAAAAAACAAACAAACAAAAAAAACAAAAAAAACAAACAATGTCCTTAGTGATGCATAACGGTTAAAGTGTACGTCTTCAGTATAATAACACCGTATAACTACAGAATGCAGATCACTACTCCACTGAATACGTGCCGTTTTTCTTTACTTCCTGTCAGGCTACACTACATGGTGTAAACTGCGTGGCCTCATCGATACCGGCTGCAGCTCGCTCTGCAATGCCACCCACCTGTCCCCTGCAGTCAGCGCGGCTAGTCTCTCCTCTCCCGGCAGAGGCTCGGTGGTGTCGGCCAAGATCCTCGCCATCTGCTGCTCGATCTCCCGTGGCAACAGCAACCGCCCGTCATAAAACATCCACACCTTGAAGAAACGTCCCTTGTGGTACACAGCTATGTGTTTGCTATCGTTCACGTGCTGAAGGACGTCTGGGAGAGAGGGACCAATGGTGAGGAGAGAGAGAAAAACAGAGAAAGAAAGACAATTGGAGTGTTGTGGCTGACGGCAGAGAGTAGCTCTATGTGTTACATGTATCTCGGTGCATCTTTAAATTGCACGTGATTCAAATGTCAAAAAGAAGGCAGCAGATTGAATGGAGTGTGGATGTCACAGCATTTGATTTCTGGGATTAATAGAAGTGTTAGTAACCAAATCTGGGGTCCCAGTTGTGAAATGATGCGATATCCACAACACGCACACAGACTTCTGTTGAGAGCGACATACTTTTTTGTGGGCTCGTTCTTTTATTTCTGTGGGCATCCTTCTTAAATTAACACCAAAAACAACAACAACTGAATTCAAAATGATACTACATGATGGGAGGGAGTACTATCCAGTTCAAAAACTAAAGAAGCTTGAAAATGGACGTGCGGAAAGTGAGATGAAAAGAGAAAGTAATTTGGGAGCAGGGTGGTGGTTCAGAATACAATGAATTGAGGCAATGCTTGTTTGAACAGCATCGTGCACAATCAGGGGAAACCAATTCAAAAACATCACTTGCATCTTTGAAACAAAGTTAGGATATTGTTTTTGGAGACGCTCAGGGATTCAAACAAGCATTGCTCTCGATACAGGCAGGACAAAGGAGGGGATACTCACGCTGGGACCAACCACCACCTCACATCCAGGTCAAACTGGGCCTACACCTCCAGCAATGTCAACATAAATATAACTGGCTTTGGAAATTTAAAAAAAGAAATAAGTTGTATTTAACACTTAACATTAAACCTATGACAACCTGACGGGTGAACTTTTGGGTTTTATTCAAATCTGTAAATGTATCACTTACATTTAAATCAAAAGTAGTACTTTTTCACCACTGAATTCACATTTTTCTTATACATTTTGATTAATTTAAAATGAATCGTAAGTCACTAATGTCCTCCAAAGCCAGAGAGATAAAGTATTCAATGTTTAGGTGTCACCACAGCTCACGGTCTTTGTCCTGAGGCTTCAAGCTTTGGGCTTTCATACTGAACTGATGGTCTTCGCCTTGTGTTATGTCATGCATTAGAAGTCCTTTCTACACTGTCCGTGCATGTTACATATCTTTTAGTTATTCTACGACTGAACAACAGCACTTAATCCCAAGTTTCAATAAAGTTCTTGTTTCAGTGCTTTTTATGCTTGAAAAAGCACATTATGATATTTCTGCCGGCTGTCTGCCCCGTCAAAGGTCATTTAATTTTAGACAACGCTAAACTAACTATGACCACCACCCAGAAGTAAAAGTATTCTATTATCCTTCAAATTCCATAAACACATACTGAACTGTATGTGAAATATTACCAGTAGATTCCCTTTGTAAATATATATATTTTAATGTTTTCAGGCCAGCGTAACACCGTTTGACATTTCCAGGTCTTACCTTAACAATATCGCTGCCTTGCTTTCTCAAACACTAGACTTTAGTCACATGCAAATTAGTCCTTCAATGTGCATAGACCTTCACACATGCATTATTTATTCATGGAGGTCAGACTATCTCTAATTCAAAACACATGGACAAATGTGCCAAGGAGAAGGACAGTAGGAGTAGTGCGGAGGAGGCGGCACTGCTAAAGACTCTACCTGTGTCTACACCTGGGACACGACAGCTGTTGAACATAGACTCGTATTGGGCTGAGCACATGGGAATAGTGTGTAGGAGCATGAGCTGAAAAGCAAAAGGGGAGAGTCAAACACAGAGATGACAAACTAATTCTCTGAAAAAAAAAACAAATCCCCTGGAGAGCGCAGCAGACACACACCTACACAGAGAGGAGCACGGATGAAGGGAAGAGGGTAATGAGGATTGGTTTGATAAGAGGAGGAGAAGGGACCTGAGAAGGCTGCCGGGGAAGAAGACATGAGAAGGGTCCAGAAACCAGGGGTCTGCCATCTCATTGCCACCAGCAAAGCCCTAATATCTGCAGTAGAATTTGTATTAAAATCTACATGGTTTTACATATTTACACTTAAATTTTGATATCTCCCAGATAGACAAAACTAACAAAACGCCAATGAGAAGTGAAGTATTTTAGGGCTGTGCTGTTGAGAATGAGACTAGTAGTCGGGGTTTCCAATGGCTGTTGCCGCAGCAAGAGCGAGGGTCACAGGGGAAAGGGGTTCAGAGGGCATTTGCGGGGGTGTGCCCTCCTCTTACCTGTCTCCAAACCAGGGACGCGGGTGGTGTTAAACATCCACTCCCATTGAGCCGAACACAGAGGAACCTTGTTCGCCAGCAAGTAAATCTAACGCAGCGTCCGACACAGCGAAGGGACAAGACAGTAAAACAGAGACAACCGAATGTGAGTGTGTAACAGGGCGAGCTCATGCATTGCTTTGTTTGTATAGTGCCGTACAATTGGTCTATGCAGCAGGTCCGTTTGTATTGTAAAATGCATGTCAGGATTGTGCAAATGTAAAAAAAAAAAAAAGTAATTTGCACTGGCATCATGCAGGTTGGTAAAGGAAGAGGACTGACAGAGGAGCGGGATGAGGGGACACTGATGTGTGTCACTAAAATCACCAGCATTCATTAACACTCATTCACTAAGTCTTTAGAAAATGCTGCTGATTTCACGGCCAACATAGCTCTACTGCCATCAAAACAGGCAGAAAGCACAGTGCATGGCACATTCCACAGTCAGTTAGACACAGTGAGCTGAGGAGAATATCAAGCACCGGCATAATCACCGGTTAGATAATCGTTAATAATAACTTTAAGACTACACAAGAAAGGGTTGTGAACGATAAGCTGCTCTCATTGTAAAGTTAAAAGACAGAAACACACTGAGATAAGAACTATAAATCAATGAATAATACACAAGAAGGTTACACATTTACTTTGGGTCAATATGAGATATTGTAGTTTACATCGAGGTATGTGGCTTAACCACAGCGAAACAAAATCATTTAAAAAGTCAAACGGGGAGGAAAGCGCTCTGTACTCACTGGCTTGATCTGGGCTCGGTCCAGTTTTCTCCTGTAGAGCATGGTAGCATGGATGGCATTACCTGCTCTGGCAGCCTGGATGGAGGTGGGGAACACATACAGGAAATCCTGCAACAAGGTATCAATTAATAATCATTCACATTTCATCCAACACCTCCTACTGCCATGAAAAGCACAAGGGCACGAGACATGACTTATAAATGCAAACAGAGGAGCAGCCTGAACAAAATGGCCCCGTGTGATCCATCCATAGGTTCTTTGTTGTTATTTTGGTCAAGGGCTGTATGCACACACAGTCAGCCATCATGACCTGCTATTTTAAGCCTGCAGAGTGTTGTTCCACTGACCCCCATACCAAGTCGACATCCTCTAAGAGTGCTGCTTTGTAAGCAAGAGCAGAGATCTATTTTGGTCAAAGCTCAAAACAGACATTTTTGTGTTGGATAAGTGTCCCATTCAGTCTAATTCATATTATCTATTCAATAACAGCCCCTTCAGTCTGCTCTCGCACTCATTCAGGCAGAAGCATACAGAGGGCGCTGTGGGTTTCATTGCCTCTTGTAGAACCTCAGTTCTTGATGGTTCTCCTGGTGAGTTCACCGGGTCGTGATCACAAATCTGACCGGGATTTGGAGCACTCAACCTGCCCACTGGTAACAGTAAAGACACAATGCAATACAGTGATTGCAGCTTTGCCAGCCAAGATGCTGGAGATCCCAAGACTTCAGCTGTAATGAGTTCCCCTGAGACATACTGGAGGTGCATGGGGGTTATGCTCCCAATTGGGTGTCCTTACCTTACACAGAAAAACATTTGGTTGCCAACTTTGCATAGCTATCACACACAAGATTAGACAAGTGGTACTTTAGAAAGGTCAGTTGTAAGAAGCTACAACTGTAGGATTAAAGTACTATCAAGTGCTCTATTCACATCAACAACTTTATCTTTAGGCAGAGCTGCTCAAGAGCTCATTTTACTAAATGTCACTTACAGTGTGGTAAATCAAACTAATCTTAGTGACAACCTTTTTTGACGTTTGATTATACTTTGTATATACCTCACCACTTATTACACTCACACTAAAAGCTTCTGAAATGTATTCGGAACACCAAACACACATTTTCAGAGAATGAATCACAGCCTACATGGAGACGCTTGTTGCTTAATCTATAAACAAAAGGCTGAGCGATGTCTTACCATGGCATAGTAGTTGCTGTTGACCATGATGGGCCCACGGCCTCGAAGGTAAATATACTCTTCCCACCAGTCACTGACCTGTGCAACACCAAGAGTGTGTGTGTGGGTTATTATTGACATTATTGACAGATTGAAGCTAAATTCAATACTCAGGACAGCGTTCAAAACTCTGATAAAAGAGCAGAGAAGAGAGAGACTCACATAGTTAGAGGCCCACCAGGACTTGAGTTTGAGGTACCACTGCAGTCTGGGTCCCAGATTCTTCTCAAAGTCTTTAGTCAAGCCCTCCATCCGTTCATACCGCTCATCATCCATCAGTGGACGCACTGACTCCAGGTACTGGCCACACACAGAGAAGCAAAGGGTCATCAGAGTGCCACGCATTAAGTTTGTTTAGCGGCTCTGCCCTTAAGCTGTAAACACACTGTTTACGCAGCAGTGTGTCACATGACGCGCATCAAATGCCGCAACTAGCAGACAGGAAGCGTCGCACTGCAGTGCGTAAACAGAAAGCACAGCCATACGGACTCTATATACCTGGAAAGAAAATAGAGGCGGCTGCTTTGATGTGCACATGCAACTCAGTAGTATCACATGGCTTTTATCTAAATGAGTTATTCATAGAATATTTTTGATTGCCTCTTATTTTCTTAAGATTGCAAACGTTGATTCCAGTCCAATCAGTGAGACCACTATGACCAATAAGGAATGTGCACAAAGCACCACCGTTCGTACAGGAGGCAACATGACAGGTGGAAATTACCCGTGTGCAGGTGTCCTTGATAGTGGGAACAGGGAGTCGCGGCAGGGAGTTCTGGAAACTGTAGAGCATTGGCTTCCTGCCAGAGAACACCTTCACTAATACCTGGACAAGAGGAACAGATAAAGGGGGGGCAGGGAGAGGGCAACGTTACACATTAAGTTTCATCTAGAAACCTTTAGAACATGAGGAAAAGTGCAAACATGTACCCAGTGGGTTAAACTAAAAAGAATCAAGAGCTGAGTCTTGTATCTTTGACTCAGTACAGTCACTTAAAGGTCTTTTTTCTGGGTATTTTTAAAGAAAAGAATTGCATGAGCCATTCCTGTCAGTAGCTGCTCTGAAGTGAACTGCACAGAGGAGCCCATTCATCGTCTCACCATCCACACACGAGTAGACCAGGACACAGAGCCATGGCGGGTATGCATCCAGCCATGCCACGACAACAGGGACTTCAGGACATTCCTCATAATCATGATTATGCTGACCCACAGGCCCGTGCCCACCAGAACGCCTCCAACAATCCTCTGGCTGTCAGTGGAGATGTATCGACTGTGGACAGAGACAAAAGGGGGGCGTGACCAGGACAAAAATACAGAGGGGCTCAACGTGAGATTAGCAAAGTAAGACTTTCTTAAATCAGATCAATGAGATGATGTGGTGTAATAAATACATATAATAAAACTACTACCAACAGATGAATCTAAGAGGGAGTGCACAACAATAACACAATGGACAAAGGTCATGTGAAGTCATGACTGATAAACACGTGCGCGTCACTTATCTTGACAGGATTAAAACACACGCACACACATTGTGAGTGATTAACTGCCAATGGTAAAATCCTAAACCTTTTATTAATCAGTATAGCCAGTGTCAGTGATGATTTGACATTTTATAAACTTAAGAAGTGGCACGGCTTTTCTGCAATTTCAGTGTTTGCAACACCAACAGGTGCTCTAACCATAAAGAAATAATCATTGGAATAATAACCGTAACGATACAGTCATAAACAACACCCTTGACTTGAGGGAGACTCCCCAGCATTGTTGATGAGACATTAAGTGTTTTCATAATATCCCTAAACATGATTAACACTGTTAGCAAACAAGAAGATTATGTGTGGTGGACAAAATATAATTACTACTTTATAATCTGTTACTACACAGGCCTAAGAAAACAGGCCTATGTGTTGTCTTGTAAAACACCGCATCAACATTCCATTACGATGCATTTGACAAGACGGGGCATTTTCACATGCTAACAACTTACTCCTCACCTATTTTATAGCCAACTTACAGCACAGCTAATCCTCCCTATATTTGCTCAGGGCTTCCTCTCAAGCCCTGGGCCAACTTGTGAACAAAATAGCATGGTTATGTCTCGACAGGAACACTCTGTTGATCCATATTGGGCCAATAACGGAGGTTTTTTTTTTTGGCTTTCCTTGACACCATGTCATTCAAGGCCACATGATATCGGTGGCCTTACCTGATGGGTATGTGTTGTCCCAGCTTGGCAATCAAGCCCAGAGAGGGATCCAGCTGTTGATATTTGTTGTAGGACATGTAGGACACAACCACTATCATGAACCCACCAGGGCTGCCCGGGTACACACCAGTCATTACCCCATTCTGTGGAAAGGTAAAGCAAGTCACAGAAAGCACATAGTCTATAAGGGTATTGATTTGCTAACAGTACTTTGGGTCTTGAAAACCAATGACAGATATCATTAATCAATATAAACAATCAGGAAAGTGGGGAAACTGACATCAGCTGTTTTGGGTTTGAGTGACTCAGTGTGACGCGTGTAAACAGACAGTCAACTAGGCCAAAGGTTACGACACAAAGGACAGACAAGAAAGGTTACCGTCACCCACGGCTCTTTAAGAGTTAGTGACCTTCCAGAGTAAGCAAGTTAATGTAACCCAACAAACCAAGTTACAATAGGACAGCAATTAATACATGAAAACAGAGCATTACTGGGGCCCTTACAATGAAGGTTACCGAGTAAATATTTACTGAGAATGGAAATTAATTAGTGCGACACACTTATAGTAGAGAACAAACAGACCGCAGTAACAGTAAATCATAAAATAAGGTCATAAAATAATTGGCCGCACACGCTGCACAGAAACCCGGTGGACTTTGCTCTCCCAGATGTCCGACACCTCTCACCTTGAAGCGGATGAACCTTTTCTTCCAGGAGTGCAGGCCAGAGAGGTAGATCTGGCGTAGAGCCTCGTGGCACAGCTGGAGGTCGATGCCATCCGGAGTGACGGTGAACTGGAAGGCCACCGCCTGGTGAGCTTCTGCCATGGTGGCTGCTGCTGTACAGGGTCACTGAGGGCGAGCACAGAGCAAGATAATAAAGTTAGTCAAGAGGAAGTTTCAAGAAAGTTTTTTCATCAAACATAAAAAGGTAAAGGGAGACGTATGTCAAAAACATTGACACAGCCACATCAATGTTCTCTCACTTTATGTTATGTGGATCTAGTAAATTCATCAAAACAGGGATACTGACTCACAACAACCAACATCATACAGTCACTACATCCCGATATCTGGACGAGGCTTAATAATTGTTGTCAGGCAGATATCAGATCAATCTTTCGGATTGACCAGCTCCTGTCACAGTTATTTGAAATCAGAAGTCATTAATCCTTGACGGCACTGCAGCGTCCCTAATTTCCAAGATTTAAATCAGTTTAAGCTCTTTGTAGGAAGTGGGAGCCGGTTCTTATTGGCTTTCAAAGCATCACGGATGTCAGGTTAACACTGAGTTAGATGGATAACTGCAAGCTTACTCAGAAGCAAAAGTATATAGGTTGAGGGGTAAACCTGTTACAGCACTAGAAGTAGATCCGGACGGATCACAGATTGATCCGTGATCCTTACGGATCACCCCTCACGGTTTGGCACACGCGTGTGAGATGTGAGCTGACGATGTCGTGTCAGTTACTCATCACCGAACTGGTGAGGCAGGTGAGGCGTTATATCCTTTACTACCAAAGAGCCGACACAAGGAGAACCATTTCATTCCAAACTACAAGTTCCTTGTTTTGTTCATTTGCAAACCTTAAGTGAGCTATTGCATGTTTAAAATGTTAGTATGCAATTTAATATGATATGGGAGCTAAGAAGGGAAAGGAGTGGGGAGACAACGGAAAGCTTAGTGGGAACTGTTTTTAAGTCTGCAGAGGTGACATCTCTTTTCTTTGCACTGCCATCATCCACCACCTCCAGTAGTGGAAGAGATCTTGGCACACAATCATAATAATAAAGTGAGTTCAGGTAAATAACCTTGATGAAAGGGGGAGTCTCGTCTACAGCTCATATTTTGCCATGTCAGTGACAGTGCATTATCTTACCTGGTATCCAATAGCGCAGATTTCTTGTCTTTTGTAATTATGGAACTAATAAGGCTTCTAATACTAAGATTGAATTGGTATTTTTCTGTATACTGATTGTGAACCGGAGGTAAGGTGGTTATTATGAGTGTCTCGGCTATATCCATGTCTGATTTAATTATTGTTTATGTACACCCGGAAGAATCCATTAAATATACGGCACCACTTTAGATGATATATGAATGAGCCGATGACAAGTTGTGTATTGAACTATACTTTAAGGCGTATTGTCTTTAAAGATATATATTTCTCACCGAAAATCCCTCTTCTAGGACGCGACATGAGATATAGTATAGTATTGTGTATGACCTACAAAGTAACCAACATCTGTCATGGTTCTGGAGAACCAGATCACATGCTTTGACTTCAAATCAAACCTTTTTTTGGCCAACGCAGGCATCGGAGAGCAGCAGTGTGTGTGAACTACAGACCACAGGCCCCTGTGTGATGAAACTCTAGCTGTGGCACTGAGAAGGACCTGTTTATGTTATGCATTGTGGTTTCACTTTTCTTTTCGCTAAGACTACCGCAAACGTTTCTCTGCAAAGCTCATCTGTGTTTCAAAAAGCAACAACAATGTTTTGCTTTTGCTTTGAAAGAGTCCGTTTTTATTGCATTCAACACGAGCCCTCTGAAAACAGGACACGTCTCGGTTTGTACGCTTCCAGTCCTGTGAAGGAGCACAGCCTCCACCGAGCAGTCCCCTCCCCCCGCTACTTTCCAACGTCACATGATCCACCCTGTGATGCAGAAACTAGGGGAAAGGTCGCAGCGCTGCGCCGCTTAGACAGCGGGCAAACCTGGCAACATAGTACTCACAAAACCCTCCTAATGCACCGAGCACATCCCATTGTTGTCACAACGAAGCCACCCAAAACATATTGGTTTGGAATATGAGATAATTAGCGTTTTGACTAATACAATTTGCAGAAGCAAAAGCCTGTCTATCCTTAATTAATCAAGTACCCGTATGTCTTCGTGCACTTAACGTTGCGTATATCTGCATTATGATTCTGACCGTAAACGCCACACATTCCTCCCTCCCCCCCACCCCCCCCCTCCACGAAGGAATGTTTACCAGATGTCATTACTAAACACTTCACACAGACACGCCTGGGCATTGGGAGGTTACATTTATGTTGGTGTTAAATGAAGTATCCTGCCCATGTGAAAAAGGGGTCAATATGCACCATATTCTGTATTATAATCCAAACAAGCAGCGTGCAAAGAAAAACAAAGGGTGTCATCTCTACTTGTATGGTGCCCTTACAAACAGGACACCATGACTGTCAGATTGTACTGACCTTCACTGGCAGGTGACATTCCCTTTAGCTACTATCACACATCACAAGCACAAACATATCACGGGCTATATTCTGTATTGTTATTGTATATAGAGAACGAATGCGTGGGTTGTAATTAACAGAGCTGCCTGTAAATGTAGTTGTCAATGGATGACCTTTACTTGGACTTTTGCCCACATTCATGTCATGAACGACGCAGGAATGCCAACCAGGTCCCTACCTGGACCGTTCAACGTAAGATCCCAACACATTAAGGGAAAGGCATAACAGGTTGAATGTTTGATTCAGATATCCAGCAGAGGCCTTTTTGAACATCATGCCCACAACCTTAGAAAATCAACCTTAAATCCAAGCGCATGGCTGCGAGGGCAATAAACAGTCCTCCTCGAGGCGTAGGTACGACTTTCATGAGTCAAGACTTGATTCCCCGACTGCTACACACCAAAGAAGCGCACAGCCGCCCGGTTATGTTAATACGGAGGGATGGAAATCAACTATACGTCATGTAAACACCGCACAGCTTTCAGCACCGGGCCGACGAGGAAGTGCAACAAACCGACACGAACGCGCGCGCTGCGCAGACATAACTACAGCTGCCAGAGGGGTTTTGTGTTTTAGCTCGTCGGTCTTTTCTTTAAAAAAAAATAAATACTGCAGCCATATTTGCACAGCTTCTTCCAAAACTGCCGAGTAAAGAGCCAAAAGCGACGCCGGGACACGTACTGGAGAGAAAAAGAAGGAGAATGATCACTCACCAACCCTTTCTGTCGGTCTGAGGGAGCAGAGCCGTCTGTGTCGCCGGTCGGCTGCTATACACTGTGCATGAATGAGAGCACAGACTTACACACACAGCCGGCCCCCTTTTGCTTTCAGTCAAGTGGCCAACAGAGCACGTCCTGGTAGAAACAGCGCCCCCTGCGGTCTATTTTGAGTTGTATAAAAATTCACCATCTGTACAGTTGTCATTGGCTATAGAGACCAAAACAGTTTTTTGTACCAGTCAAAACATTCCCCTTTGAGAGGTGGTCAACAGGCCTCGTTTGTGTGGTGAAACACTGTTAAATATACCAAGAGAGGCCAGGAGTGCATTAATACATGTATTTACTTGACAGCACATTTTAGACTGTACTTAAGAAATCACAAAATAGTTTCCTATGATATTTTGTTTAGCCACATGTTAAGCCTCCCTGCCATGTATTTTTAACCCCAGTGCCTGGCTCTTTTTTTGTTTCTCACTCATGCAGCTGAAAGTGTCTTTGAGAGGGTCCAGGTCCAGAGATAAATAGGATGAGTCACAAGATGACTAATGGGATTAATAAGGAGAACATATACTTGTCACACAAAAGGATGACTAGGCAACCTAATCATCCTCTTTTCATTTACGTTAATGAAACACTGGGTATGTTCACCTCTATGAGGATCACAAATAGGACGAGAGTCTCAGCTAAATTGGCTGCAACCGCCACTCAAATCAGGAAGAAGGACAAATAAGTCTGGTTGTTGATTTAAGAACAAACGCAAACGTATTTCTCTATAAAACACGAGGCAACGTGCCAGTATGACCCGTATGTCTACTGTTTATCCACAAGAGGGCGCAAGAGGACCGTTTCTCGTCAAAGAGTTTGTTCCGACTATTAATTCTCGCTCACTATTTATTTAATTTATTTAATTAAAAACTCGTGAGGTCTTCACTAAATGCCTTGACATAATAATGTGACGAGCAATAACAAGCTATCGTTAACGTTACAACAATAACATACAATGTGTTGCATTGCGTTCATTGGGGGAAATTAAGCTAGCAAAACTGCATTTTAATCATCAAAGCTGGCGTTGAGCATAATAAGGAGGAAGAAGTGGGACTCCGTCTTCGTTTAAATTGAAGTATCAATATAGTGAACTAGTAAATATTACGTCTTGCCTTTTATTATGGCCGTCGTTGCACCGTACAAATCAAACACGGAAACCCACGCTCAAACTTTCCTTCGGCGACGAGGCTCGTGCACGCGCTGCCGCCAATCGTGCGCGTGCGCGTGCGTCACTGTCACTGGCGTGCCGCCTTGCCAGACAGCTACAGCCCAGCTCGCGGCATGTGGAACTGGACGAGGGGGTGCGTCCGTTTGACCAGCATCGATATCAGCGACGCTCGTCGACAGTCGGGGACGAGTCTTCAGCACGGTGGTGGTGCTGTCAGTGTTTCGGCGACGGGCTCCCCTGGACAGCGAGGGAGATAATGAGAATAGTGCATTTAGTCTATACAGAAGAAGGGAAGTCTCTCCAAAAGGTAAGCAGCGACGACGGAACATTAGTGTGTCTACTATACTGTTTACTCTTCACTCACTGGACAGTAATTAGCCCTGGAAACACATGGACGTGAGCGGCCACAGAGTACTTGTCGCCTGAATGTCTTTATTTGGTCCTTTTTGTGTTTTTACAACTTGCCTAATCCTCTACAAACCAGTATCCGGAGCATATACCTCACGTTATTATTGCGTGGACAGCTCTGGATATCGATGGTCTCCCCATGTGCACGTGATTTATAGAAATGGAGATGTATGCTGGTGTTTTTTGTTTATCGGAACCGAATCATTTTACTGTAAGAGTAGATTGCGAGGCTACCGTCTGTGGTAAGAACAGTGACCGAGCGCTTCTCTCGGGGGATTTCTGATTTTGCATCACTCGTCACTCTTCTAAACTCCGGCTAGGATTGCGAGATATGTGTCCACGATGGGATCCGCCTCTCTGTCCTCTGTTTTATGGTTACCCACTCTCTGTTTGTGATGTCTTCGTATGAAGCAGAGTCTCTCTCTATCTCTGTGTTTCAGTCTTGAACATCCTTAAGTTCCGCATTTTCTCTAATGAACGTAGGCTGCACGTAGCAAGTGTGAGACAAGTGTCAGAATCAAGGGACTGTACTTGTGATCGAGATAATGCATTTAATGCTAAAAGGAAACACGGTCATTGGAGCGAGCAGGATTTCACCCAACACAGCCCACAGATGCTCCAGCGTCCAACCAGTCAGTTACTGGTCTGTGTGTGTGTGTCATGTCATGCCATGCGTGGTCCCCCTTTTGAAAGGTTAACTGGGCGTCTCACTGGTTCATACTCAGTTTCACAAACTGAGTGAAAGATCTCCTGCAGGATTTAGCTCTCATCCTCTACCAGATGTCTGCTGGTCATTGTACTGCCCCCCCATTGTTTTTTGTTGTCAGTGTAATGCAGCAGATGTGCATGTTGCTAATGCAAGTGCACACTATCTCTAGCCAACATTGAGATATGCACAGTCATTAATTGGGGTGCCTCATCATTGTTTGTGACGGCATAGGGAAGGAGACAGATTCATGTTTGTTTGCGTTTGTGCGCATACATATCTGCAGTCCAGTGAGTATGGGTGCACAGGACCTAATCTCAGTACACATCAGTCCACAAAAGATGTGTACAATGATGAGTAGTATTTTCTCTTAGCTGCACACGCCCACAAGCGTGGAGCATGGAGCATTTTGTATCTTTCTTTCATTGTTGCCATGTTCAGCCTTCAGGGTGTGACACTCTGCTTGTGGTTTGAGGAGGAAGCTCCACACAGGAAAGGTGACGGCACTGTTGGTGTGCTTTAGTGTGATGCATGTGACAGGGCCGTCATCCACCCGTCCCTCAGCATCTCGTTCCTCCTGCATCGTGTACCGCTCTCTGCTCCGCGGTCCTGCTGGTGTCAGATGGTTTGATATGTGATCTGAGAGATCAAGTCCCAGTGAGTCGCCAAATCAAAGAAAAGCCTTGAAAACCTTTTGCTTTGCTGGAGGAGTTTGACTTTTATAAAAATGTGTGTGCATTTTAACTGTAATTTGTAGAAGGCTTTCAGGGACTTGAATGTGCTCTTGAACAATGATCTGACTGCACTCGCTGATGCCAACAGGATGTGAGCCACGTGTGAGGCAGAGCATGTGAGCCATTATTTTGTTTGTATGCCTGTGAATGGGCCTCAGTCAGCAGCGTACTCAGAGTTTGTGAATACGTTTTTGTTTTTTTCTTAATTTTCATAATGTAAATCACCACTTATCTCACTGCACGATGCATCAAAAGCATTGACATCTATTCATTTCCTGGATGAAATCATTGCAGCGGTATTGTAAATGATATGTTGAGGTTTAGTTTGGTTAACAAAACTGCTCAATTCAATATGATTGAATAGTTTTATCCTTATCAGACCAAATTTGACTTTCATGTGTGGTTCTCTCGTAACTCTCCAACAAGCCGCCTTCATTGTATTCTATTGTGACAATATGATTTCGGTGGAGAGGGTTCAATGGCCTTTTTGTCTGCCTGAATGGGGGCTTTATGATATCCGTCAAATGCCCGATGCTGGGTGTCACAAAACGCACCAGATACCGAAGCCTTTCGCCAACATTAACAAGACAGAGAGGCTTTAGCCCTGCTGTGTAACTCATGAAATGTCTTTTCAGAGGTTCAGTGTTATCTTTCCAGATGTCTTGTTTTGGAGGTATGGCATTTCCATATCTCTTCTTCTTTTGGTCGGGGTCACAAGGTGCTGGAGCGTATCGCAGCACAGACTGGGTGATAGTCAGGGGGACACGTGGACAAGTTGTCACACTCACACCTACGTGCTATTTTCAGTTCCAGTTCCACAAACGTGTGTGTGTGTGTGTGTGTGTGTGTGTGTGTGTGTGTGGACCGTGGGATCGGCCCTGCTCGCTAACATGAAGTGATCACCACACTGCATTGATTTGGGCTGGAGAGTGAGCCTCTGCTGGAGCTAGTGCATGAGCTGAAATTGTCTATAAATTAGCTAAATCTATTCCCAACACACTAGCATTAGTAAAATTGAGGTCACACTACTGTTGAGACTGAAGATGGTCACTCGGGCTGCAAACAGACCCACCACTGAGGAGATGAGTAACAGCTCTGTGGGATAATAGCCCATATAGTTGTTTGTCTTGTGGCATTTGTATAAAGGCTAAATTAGGCTGATTTGGAATTTCCCCTCTATTATTGTCTCTGCTTTGTCTCTCTTTTAGATGCCACTTCAGATTGTTCAAATTGACAGTAAGTGGCAGAGACTACATAACTTTCCTGAATATCGCATATTTCCCCCTGTGCATTATAGGTTGTTCAACTTCATATTCAAATATTAGTTTAGAACGTAACAGTGCTTGTTTGTAAAGTAAAGCACCAGTTATTTAAACTAGATGAGAGCGTTTCCTCTGGCTTCACAGATGGTTTTAGGACTCTTATGAATCCTTTGCAAGCAAGAGGATCCATTTATAAGAATTTGGCTTTCTCAGCAGGGTCATGCGGTTTTGTGTTTATGAATCCTGTTCCCTGGACATTCCTGTCCTCCTCATACCATCCCCTTTGAAAATGTGCTGCCACCCTGGGAAACGAGGCTTCTCTGGCTGGCCTGAGACTCCAGCGGCTCAAACTTTGTGTGGTCATTGTTATATTTAGACGCGGCAGTAAGGACCAGAGACAGTTCTCAGGCCGGGTCAGATGCAGGGTGAGGTGATAGAGAGCTCTCCTTCCTCAGATCCCCACTTGTTATTTCCTTTTGTTAAGATGGGGGGGAAAGGTTGGTTAGTTTGGGATGGTGAGTGTTTTTGGCCGATCTGTGTTGTATGTGCTCAGCTTTGGGGAAAAAACGATAAGGCAGAGCGACAGTGGTAATGCAGAGTGGAGCAGGACAGAAAAGCCCCTTGGGGACAAAAAGCTATTCTCAGCCATGTGCTTTTTTTCCCCCGGTCCCTGTGCTCTGGATGTTTCACCCGTGGGGTCACGCAGTCCCTTTTTCTATGCATAAACACAAATCCTACAGTGTACAAATGAATCGGAGGGAGACGGAGGAAAAAGA